AGTTTGGATATTTATGAAGTTATACTTTATTGGCGCGTTAGGGAAAAATGATGAGAGTAAATTTTTACGATGCGCGCGCACACCGTCACGACACCCGACACCCTGAAGTAAGCTAGACCTCTACGTATGTTTGCGTGAGAACTGACAACTGTATTAACGATATTTATTTTGTGATATTTAAATAAACTTTATTTAACTAGATAATGTTTTATAATAAAACTTTCAATGTATTCAATACCTTTTTTCTATTGTTAGCGTCGTTTTTTTCTACAAACGTAGAATAAGGTGAAAGATAAAATTTTTGAAAAGATATATCTTGTTACGCCAAAGAAGTACAACTTCTAACGCGTACATAAGTACACACACACTTTTTTTATTGTAGCTTTGCGAATCATCCTTGGGAGGAACCAGTGTTGTATTGCAAGGTGATCAATCAAACCTGATAATTTAATGGTTGGGCAATTTTAAGTGTGCTCATGGACCCCAGATATGTCATTCGTCAACTGCATGTCCCTACACGCGGGTTTTTCATTTGTCTTTTTGTTTGTTCTGTGTAATAGGCCCTCTATAGACATCATCACCTCATAGACCTCTGTTGGAGTGTTAGATGACTTCGAGAAAATGCTAGATTGCACTACACGAATAGTGTAATTACAATTTTAAATTACAAGTTAAGTGGGTGCGTTTCAGTTCTGCGGAAAGTTAAGTTATCGATGATCGGTAACTGAACTTTCCGTAGATTTGTTCGGCGTAAATAAACGAACCGTTAATCCCTGAACTTAATCCCTGAACGTGAATTTTGTTATTTTTACGAAGCTCTCTAAGACGCCAAGCCATCTGCAATCTTCTACGTCTTCTACGCCAAACTACGCCCCTGTCTATCGATGTCACTCTTGTTTTTCTTGTTCCGAACGCTATTTAACCCAAAATAAAGATGGAACAATACACATTGAACGTAGGATGTACTTTTATTAAATTCTTGTTGGACCTTTTAATTAATATATAATATATAATTTATAATTTAAAGCAGTTTACGGTCCATGGGCAAACTTGTTTTTTATATGAATGTCATTTTTCGCCTAGTTTACCACCTGTATCAACTAGATGACGACTGGTTTGTTAATCAGTCTAAATGCGGTTTGGCCTACTATGTCAAGTAGTCAAAAGATCTGTTTTGTGAATAAGTTAATCGTAGACCGTTAACAATCTTATTTCGTTGACGATTTTAAGAAAAAATTTCTAGTACTCTGCATGCGTAATATTTATAGGAAACCCGTACTACGAAACAAGCATTCGTTACATCTATTTATATTCAATCTGTAAAATAGCGACATCTTCCAAAATTTCGTGTGTAATTAATACTTACCTCATGTATTTCATTTCTTTTATTATCATGCACCGATCTACAAAATTCTTATAATTTCCGACAGATAGCGCATGTATCAATTTATATTACTACTAAAAAATTACAACGTATAAAATCTTGAAGCAGCAAAGTAAACTTTAAGTTAAACTTAGTACCGTAGTTAATTCTCGCCGTGTGTAATATTAACAGGAACCCTATATTACGAGACAAACATTCGTTACATAGGCACATCTATATTCAATTGGTAAAAACAGCGACATCTACCAAAATTTTGATTAAACTTCGGTATTTAAGATTTTATGTGAATAAAATACCTACCTATCTTATGCATTTAATTTTTCTTATTATCATGCGTACTACAAAATACTTATAATTTCCAATAGATGGCGCGTGTATCAGTTTCTATTACAACAGCCAATTACAACGTATGAAAGCAAAAGTCGTAGAAGAGATGTTGATTAAGCAGGGTAGTGCTTGTTTCTCAGCTGCAACAAATCCATTTTAACCAAAATATTACTTTGTCCGTGAATCAGACTCGCAGTAACTCACTTAGTAATTGGTACTAGTGTACCTAGCCTAGTGGCTAGCCGGTCAATTTTCGCAATACAACAGACACAATGAACGAGTTTTAAGTCTCATTGTGTTTGATATATTAAACAAAAGGGAGAGTGTAACGTCATAAAAATTATTGACCTGTGTGGTTAGAACGCTTGCGTTTATGAGACAACTAATTAAATCCAATGGCTAGTTACAAAATAAACGTTTATCTTATTTGCAAAAGGTTTAGGGAAAAATTATACTTTTTAAAAGCTGAAGCGAGGGTTAAATAAAGCAACTATTTATTAACTACAACTAACTATTTATTATATTACTTTCAGACTTAAATGTTATTTTCTAACTTTTGTCAGATAAATTTTAGCGATGTATTGAATCAAATAGTAATTGAATTTATAAAGGAACAGTTTATTTTATTCATAAATATTAATCTATGTAAGTAAGTAAACGTATTGCATTTTTTCACAATGAAATAAAGAAGCACAAAGGACCATATAAACCATTGCGCTAGCGTTTAATGGCTTTATTAAACTATCCATACTTGGAGGCGGTTCTTATTGTTCGCAAATTGCGGTCATAAGTGAAGATAGTCGAGTAAGGTGTGTTCACTTTTTTTGAATCTACCGCAGAAACTGTTTCGGTTGACAAAGCGAAGTTTAACGCGTTGCACTTAACGGAGATTTATTTCTACCTCCATTTACGGCTTTGCCATGTAAACAGCTTTTCGAAAGGCGGACGCTATGTAGATCACATGATTAATATCTTGTCAGGGTTTTGTGGGTTGACAGTAGGTAGACATTGACCTTGATTACACGCATGTGTATTTATCCGTTGTCTTTAATAAGTTATGAATGCCAGTAGCCATGTTGTCTACTCGTTATGTACTATACCAACATGACGAAAGAAACGTAATATGGCATTAGGTTGTAGTTTAAATGAAACTATATAATGGAATTTTTGTTTGGCACGTGATTTTGGATACTAAATGTATTAAAAATGTTAGGAGGTTTCAAAAAAAAATTCGAGAAAATCTGTAAAATAACTCTCATTAATATGAATTCAGGTATACACATTGCATTATCGGAAAGGGCTTATACGTATGAGGAAATAATTATAACAGTTTTATAAACATATTTATGGAATTATATCGAATTGTGTAACACATTAGCCTACTTCTAAGTTGAAATGTGGGAATTAAAATTGTTGGTAAACATAATATTACATACCTACTTGAAGGATTTAAAAATTGGTCTTAGCAGACAATCGAAATTATAAAAATTTTCACACAACTTACATAGCAGTTTTGTGAATAATTTTACTTTTCTGAATTAACTATAAGAATATAAACATAATAACAGTTTGTGAAATTTTGCGTATCAATTTCTGATTTATTTATCAGAACTGTATGACAATACTATCTTGTGGAATCAGTTCATTTAATTAATTATGATGACTCGGTTGGCGCAGTTGCTCAGCCATTGGCTTCGACGTCACCGGTAGTAGTGTCGGGTTCGATTCCCATACATGACAAATATTTAGGTCGTACCACAGATAAATGTATCGGATCTCGGCGTTTGTTCATGTAATATTCATCGATGTGTCACGTCTAAACAAAACAGGATAATCATAGCTAGAGGGCCGGCATAATTTTTATTTAAATTGTTGTTTTTTTTTTTAATTTCGTCCAAGAGCATAATGATAGCATAATTCATCACTGTTTTTGTTAAAGGAGAAAAGCATAAATTAGGTATAATTAGGTGACATAAAAGCGGGGTTACAATTTATATTTTCGTCACTGTTTTCTGATCATAGTAATAAATGTGTACTCCAAAACGAAAATATGGGGATGAAACTTTATATGAAAATTATTGAAGCGAAAACCAAAAATCAGCTTTTTATTAAGCTAAACTGACTTTATTGAGAAGTAGGACGTACTAAAGACACGAAGACTCTACGGCCGATCAAAAAACAAACTAAAAGGTAATTTATTGCCGTGTGTCGTTGCTAGTAAATAGAAGAATTGTTGTAATACATTGGTAAATTAGGAGTGTTATTAAAAACACAATTGAAGCAAGGATTTGTTTTCGAGCGTTTCTTATCGATGTGCCGTCGATATTACGACATGTCTAGCATAATAACCGTTCTTAAAAGCTTTGCCGTTATTTCAAAATGTTATAACGACAAAGAAATAAATCGCCTTTAAGTAACGCAAATTCACGTCATGGTTAGTCATGGTTGTACTTGTAACTAAACGTTCTTTCTTATTTGCTGTATCGCTTTATGACGTTATGTACAGTACTACTTATAGTAAGTAGTTTTTCATCACGGAATTAAATTTTATAATGTTAAACATTTGCTAAATATTTAGAAAAACAAAAGCTTTACATGTGTTTTGTAGAGTTTTTGTTTATTAGCCATTAGCTTAGGAAATTTTAATTTCACTATAGTGAAAGTTTTAAATTTTTTTTTATACCGATATAATATCTTATAATTATTTGAAAAGCGATTGTTATTTTAAAGTTTTCACGTTTTCACGCACTTTTGACGTGCGATTGCGACCGCGAAGTGAACTTATCTTTTAGTAGTAGATTTAAAGTGCTACCCAAAGATTAGAAACCGGACAAGATAATATTTCAATAATTAGTTTAATATTCCTGATTTTGACAAATTTAAATTCAATCGTCTTTAACTGACATTCTAAGCGGGCGTAAGGCGTGTGTTTCCGTCATAGACAAGATTAATGTTTCCTTATTACAGTGTATGGAAGGTGTTTAATGTGCGAATTTCGGCAATTGACACGCTATGTAGCGAACTATCTGAAATGCCAAGGAGTACCAGCTACCACCATAGAACCGTATTAGTAACGCAAAGCCGGACCTTTTTGTCAACTAAATTTGGCAACAGCACACAAGGACAGTGACTTTTGTTAGCAGACGCCCGAATAACTGTCTCAATGGAGTTATGCATAGATTATGTTCATCCGTATAAATAGCGTTACGAACGCACACCGGGCATCAGTCGGCTGTGACAGCTCGAAGTGATCCTCCTCGTACGGAAACCAACACAGACCACGTCCACAATGAGATCGCTGGTGGTGTTTGCTGCTGCCTTGGCGCTGGCCGTCGCCGCGCCGTCGCAGGTGAAGCGCTCCCTCGGGCATGCTGTCGCCTACACTGTGCCGACTTCGGTGATCGCCGAGCCCGTGTACACCGGCCCCGCTGTCTACGCCGCCCCTGCGCTGTACACCGCTGGCTCGGCCGTCTCGCACCAATCGAGGGTGGACGTGCGCACGTCCCCAGCTGTGGTGGCTACACCGACTGTTGTGGAAGCCGCACCAATTGTCGAGGCGCGCTCCGTGTACTCTGCGCCACTGTACGCCGCTCCTGCCGCCGTGTCCCACCAGTCCCGCTATGACGTTCGCACGTCGCCAGCGATCGTCAGCGAGCATGTGGTAGCCCCAACCGTGGTAAAGCAGGAGCTGGTCGCCGCACCCGCCGTGGTCGACGCCCGCTCAGTCTGGACACCGACGGTCTACGCCAGCACCTGGTAAACGCAGTGCAATTTTCTCGTGAGAATGAGCTATTTAAGACCGTTCAAATGTAACATTAACACAACGAACACATCTGTCTGATTGCTTCAGAGAAATGTCTTTCAATTTCTAAAAGCGGCAATAAATAAACGTATGACTATTCTTTAAATTCTTTTTTACTTTTTCATGCCTGTCCCGTATTGTTCGAATCCGTATCTGTACATAAAATTTCATCATCATTTCTTTTCGTCTACCAATTTTGTTTTCAATATTTAATTAATTGTGTACATGACAATACGTACTGGGCAAAAAAAGCAACGGGTCACATAGAAAAATTGATATTTCGTGGGAATACTATAGTAAAACTATGGTTTTGTAAATAAATCGCTTGTATAATTATTATGTTATGTTACGTATATTAGAAATGCTTAAAATAAAGTTAAATAAGCTTAAAATAAACATAACGAATGAAACTATGTTTACGGATTTATCGGTTTAATGTATAATGGTTTAATGTAAAGGTTATGTATTGGTTTTAATACCAGATTATTTACACACAACGGGGGTCGAAGAGTAGAACGATCAGGAGAACGGTATCAAAATACGTGTTTTGAAGAAAAGGTTCTATTCAGAGGAGGATCAATAATGTTGGTTGGGCTGGAATATCTTCAGAGAGTCGTACGGAGTTAATGATAGAAAACGGGTCTCTGACAGCTGTCAGATACGTAGAGGAGGTTTTGAATGAGCACGCTTAACCTTTCTTAGCAAATATGGGCGCATATTCCATTTTTATGCACGATTATACCCAACCCCAAAGTGCTTATATGGTAAAAGTGCATATTCAAGATCTTCAAGGCAGTCCATGCTGAATCACGTCAGAGGAAGAATGATCAAACATAGACCAAAATTGTAGAAAAGTTGGTTTATATCATGTCTCTTCGTCATACGGGCTCTAAGTTATACGGGCTCGCGGAAGAAATATAAAGTACTAGATTTCGCCCGCGGCTTCGCCCGGGTTGAAGCCCTCAAATAAATATCTTTCTTTAACCTTTCAACCCTTTATAACATAATTTTTTTCCAATTAAAAATAGCCTATGTCCTTTCTCAGGCTCTAGACTATCTGTGTACCAAATTTCATTTAAATCGGTTCAGTAGTTTTGGCGTGTAAGCGAGACAGACAGAGAGAGTTACTTTCGCATTTATAATATTAGTATGGACTAAAACAAGAAGTTGTATACTTTTTATAAACTGATGTTATGATATGTTTTTTTTGTTGTCATAAGTTAGAAGTTCCGGTTTAATTTTTTTTTACTTTAAAATACCTAGTATATAGTTTGCCAAACGTTTATGTATTTTCATTTATTTATTAATAAGTCGTCTATAACAAACTACAACTTCACGAATCAAATATAGATATTATTTTTTTGAGACCCGTTATTTAAGTGTATTTGTTACAGATTTAGTAAATTTCTTTTTAAGTGTCATGCTTTTGAGAAGAAGCTGTTAAATTAAGCGTTTGTTCAATTTTAGATTTTAAATTGAAATTAGCTCTAGTTTCTTAAGTGACTTTGTATTTTCTTTATAAAATCTTCTCTTATCATATGTCGAAATACCAAGTTATGAAGAATTTTCCGTTTTACAGTTAAGAAAAAATATGAATATACGTAATAATTAAATAATCTACATTAAGCTATTGTGATTATTTTCACATAATGACATGTCAAGTCGCATTGTTGCCGTCCTTGATGTTTATTTTAGCAATTTCTTAAACTTCAATATATAAATATTGATGATAAATCCCTAAATATTAAAATTTCGTAGAAACCTCCGCGAACTCTTTGATCACATTAAGTCATATTTCGTCAAATTACGTAAAATTTTCACTACTCCCAGGGTTGATTGGAAGATGTTGCTTAAGCTTTAAGTTTGCCCTTTATTTGGTCTTATGTTGCGGTGTAAACAATACAATTTTAAATCTATACATACAGATAAATAAAATTGGAGTGTTTGTTTGTGATATTAAAAGTACCTGGAGGACCGAGCTTTGCTCGGTTTTTTTTGGTAAATCATCTATTTTGGAAATAAAAAAATAAAGAAAATAAACATAATAAATTTCATGAAAACCACTAGAGCCGTTTTCGAGATTCCGGAATTTTAATTTTATATATATATATATATATATATATATACAAGAATTGCTCGTTTAAAGGATAAGGTACATATACACGCTACATGTACCTTTCGTACATGCTTTTTTCGATTTCTTTCTATCTGTCTGTTTGTTCCGGCTAATCTCTGAAACGGCTGGACCGATTTGGACGGGACTTTCACTGGTAGATAGCTGATGTAATGAGGAGTAACTTAAGCTACTTTTATTTTAGATTTTTTTTATTTAAAATTCCACGCGGACGAAGTCGCGGGCACAGCTAGTAAATCAATAAATGTGCACTTCAGTCCTATCGCAAGTTTCCACTCTGGGGCAGACACATGTCGGTGCGAAGCTGCCTCAGACGGAAGCTCCATGCGACTAATCCGCTCGCGGGAGTGTCTATTCGTTCTTATCGTTTCCGTTTGCTGGCTCCGAATCGCTCGCTTCCTGTTGCGAGCATAGGCTAGTGCCAGTGTTGGGGCACTGACACGGCCCATTTGGCTGGATCAGGTGTCTAAGCACCTAAGCACTAAGGTTTTTAGTGTGTACCCCCGTGTAATAGGGAATCCCACATAGCCTCGCTGTCTACCCGCAAGGCGGCGGGGTATCCATAGTGGATTTATCCCACGTAAAAACAAGTGCCAGTGTTGGGGACAAATGTAGAAAATACTTCAACCCGAGAACAGTGTTACAATTCACTTCACTCGAGCCTGCCCAATTACAGTTCTCTCCAACCAAAAAGTAAACTCCTACCTATAAGAGCTTGAGTACGACCCATAACGTCTGACCCTTGCATTGTCTTTGCTCACGTAAAACCCATAAACTTGCATACACCATAGGTAATTTAAAACAAGTTCACCCGCCAGAACTGGTACTAGTTGGAATAAGCGTAACGTCAACTTGCATACCGATTGCAGGCTCCCAAAACTATGGGAACACCCTAAAAAGTTAACCGAAGGTACTTCTTTTTTTTTATGTGAAAAGTTGCTAAACGAGCAGACGGTTCACCTGATGTTAAGTGAATACCTACACCCAAGGATTTGCAGATGCGTTGACAATCTTTTTGGAAATTGGGCTCCGGCTACCTCACTCACCAGACGAAACACGAAAGTATTTCTTATACTTCCACTTTAAGCCGGTCTTCTGTGAGGTCGTGGTACTTACTTGGACGAGCCTGCCCATTCGTGCAGCAGCCGAGGCTGCTGCGTGGCCCTACCACCGTTGAAAATTGAACTGCAATACACCCATCTGAAACTCTAAACTCTCAAGTCAACAACAAAAATATCTGAGATTTGACGAAGCAGGACTCAAATGTGACGACACTCATGCACCACCTCATTTCTATCTCAACCTAAACTAATATCAAACAATGAAAATTTGCTTGACATTTTAATTATTGATATTGTAAATGTGTTTTTTATTTTAAATCGCTATACCATTCCTCTAGCATTGATACTCATTTCTAGCAACTAAACTAAGCGGTTGATATCCATATTATTATTTATTACATTTTTGTATAATGTATATTTGAAAAGTAGAGATATCGCTATTACTGTTGGCATTTAAATATTAATTTGAATATTAGTTTTTGCACTTAAGATGAAACTTTAACCGTGTAAAGTAGACTAAATAATTTTTTTTCATTTTACACAACGTTTTCTAGTCCCAAATTAAGCAACGCATGTACTATGGATACTAGATAACTGATGAACATACTTAAACATACTTATCTTTTGTAAAAAAAATACACATTTGTTGCGTACAGAGTATATTACTTAATATTTAAATATTTTTTTTTTCTTGTTACGTTTAGGAATTAAAATAGCACAATTTGGAAGTAAAAGATTTTAATAATATTTACTTAACCCTTCTTTTTTTTTCTTAGTGGCAAGCACTCTAAATTTGAATCCAACGTCCGTTTTTGCAACGACACCCGCAAAGCCTTTGACAAATTGACCTTTGTCGCTTCTAATTCGTAACTCCGAACAAGATTATGTGCGCGATCGGCTAAGGTTAATAAGTTTTGGCCAACCCCATTTCTTTTTTCCTTGCTCCAAATTAAATATTAAGACAGTTCCTCTACCGAACCTGTGGATAAAATAAATATACAAACTATGTTCATCACACAATATTTTTTCAGTAGTGGGGATCGAACCCACACCCTCTGACGCAAGAGGCAGGGTCACTACCCACAACGCCAATCGGGTCGTCAAAAATCTGTTTCATCTTTAGTGCAGATATTAGTACTAAAATTAATAATTAAATAAAAAAAGGCGAGAAAAAATGTATAAAATAAACACGTTTCTTTAATTAGCCATGCAAACCGGAACATGGTCATATGAAAGTAATGTTACTTATCGAAATATAACTATATGAATACATGAGTGATTACCCATGTATTTATGAGGATCTAATCATAAAACATAGAAGTAACCTTGACATAGATATTATTCAGGAGACATTTGTAACTATTTTTATCCTAAACATTGATGGCTATACCTATCCGCTTTTTACTAGGAATGGTCACTAAAGTAGCTTTCGGCTATTCAGTCACAAATAAAAAGCTAAGAAACGAATTCTTATATTTTTTGCGTGTATTCAAGAGTGGTTAAAAATATTTAATAACTAAACGTTGGTTTAAATCTTTTTTCAATGGACTAGTTAAATAACAATGGAAAAACATACACGAAGGGTTTCTTAGAAAACATTACGAGAATATTAAGTCTTCATAAATCTGAGAACTACCTAAATGAACGTAAAAGTTCCCTAGGAACAAGGCCGTTTACTTTCATGTGACTCTTGACATTGTCGTTTCACTAACGTTAATTTTCAGCCTCGGTAATAATAATTTAATTACTTACATATTTGACTGTAGGCAGTATAAAAGCCGTTGGGCATTCGGTTAAAGTTATCAGTCAACCAACAACTGGGTTTGAAGTGATCGTGTTCGTCGAATCGTAAACACAGACCACGTTTTAAAATGAAAATGCTGGTGGTGTTCCTTGCCCTTGCCAGTGTGGCGTGTGGTTCAATTGTTCCGTTGGCGCAGCCAGCTTACCATCCAGCGCTCGTCCTGGATCCTCATGGACGGCCTCTAGACACCGCTGAGGTCATCAATGCCCGTGCAATCCACCTACAAGCCAAGGCTCTGGAAGGCCATGGCGCTCTTGTGCACGCCGCTGTTGCTCCCATTGCTGTCGCCCCCGCTGTGGTCGCAGCGCCCGCCGCCGTCTCCCACCAGTCTCGTGTGGACGTCCGCACCAGCCCCGCCATCGTGACCGCCCACGCCGCTCCCGTGCTGGCCGCGCACAGCGCTTACGGCGCACCTCTTTTGGGACACTCCGCTCTCGGGCTCGCCGGCCACGGACACCTGCTGAAGAAGCGCTCCCTGGGCTACCTCTCGTACGCCGCCCCAGTGTACGCCGCCGCCCCCGCCGCCGTGTCGCACCAGTCCCGCGTGGACGTCGTCTCTAGCCCGGCCGTCGTGTCCCACGCCGTCGCGGCTCCTGTGCTTGCGCACGCCGCCGTTGCACCGGTGGTCGCGCACGCCATCGCCCCCTCTGCCGTGTCTCACCAGTCCCGCGTGGACGTCCGCACCAGCCCGGCTGTTGTATCTCAATCGGTTGTGGCCGCCCCTATCCTGTCAGCACCCATTCTCGGTGCGCACTCTGCTTACGCTCACTCTGGTTACGGACATCTGTTGAAGAAACGCTCTTTGGGTCATCTCATCGCCCCCGTAACCCTTGCGCACGCTCCGGCTGCTGTCTCCCACCAGGCCCGAGTTGATGTTGTTTCCAGGCCAGCTATTGTTACCCAGACTGTGACTGCCCCCGTCATAGCTCGTACAGCTGTGCTTTCACATGCACCCATCGTTCCTCTTGCGCATTCGTCTGTATTATCTGTGCCACTTTCGCGTTCAGTGCATTCTTCACCCTTAGCTTATGCGGCGCACTGGTGAGATTAAATTACAATAGGATTCGGCGAACAACTGTAGTTTTCGTTTTGGTAGGTTGAGTTGAAAACGAATAGACAATAAACGAATAATTTAAAACGATGTGAACTTTATTACTTTTACCCCATAACTGATATAAAACACAAACAATAAAGTAAAGCCAAAGTTGTACACAATTTAGTTGCTCAAAAGAAGTACAAAATATTATATTTCTGGACAGATGTTTGATTTGTTTTAGAATGTACACTTGGTAACGCATAACAGTAAACCCGGAATATCTTATTCCTGCTTGACTGGTGTATATTTGTTTGTACCATATTTAAATAATAATATTTCGTAGGATATACTTGACTTGCCTACTTATTTATCACAAAGTAAGTATTTGAACAACTACTTAATTATTATATAATTTGTTTTGTTTCACATTGCAGTTTTCAATGTAAGCAAAAATTATGATTTTGAGTTAGTTATTACGTAAGAAAAGTTATGTTTATGGTATTAATATCAATCTGAGTACCTATACCTTAAAAATACTATTCTAATTTTATGAAATGTTTAAATGAATTAAAAACAATATTTAGTACCTCATATATGTATAAAATAAAAATCAAAATCAAAATCAAAAATATATTTATTCAAATAGACGCTTGCGCGCTCTTATGAATCGTCAAATTTTACATCAAAGATTATGTGTATAGGTTCGTAAAGTACCACCGGTTCGGAAAGCGGTTTCTGTTGAGAAGAGACCGGCAAGAAACTCAACAGTTGCTCTTTTTCAAAAATATCAGGGTACAATATAATATACAGGTATAATAGTCTTATTCTAGCCTACGTGAGTATCAACAGTATTAACTCCACACATTGGCGTCGTCGAGATATTCCGAAATGGTATAAAATGCTTTAATCATCAGTTGATTTTTAATTTTACATTTAAATTGGTCAAGCGGCAAACTTAATATCGACTGTGGGATTTTATTATACATGCGCACACTTTGCCCCATGAACGACTTATTTACTTTTTGTAGACGAAACAATGGCGTAGTAAGTTTTGTCCTTATTTCTAGTGTTTTTTTTTATGTCTGTCACTATTTTAGGTAATAATTAAGGTTAGACGTATATACAAAACCTTACACTAAATGAATTGACAAACAACAGTGAGTATATTAACCTCTTTGAAAAGATCTCTGAGTGAATTCCGGGCTCCGATATTGTAGATTGCTCGGACAGCTCTTTTTTGAAGAATAAATATAGAATTTATATCTGATGCACTACCCCACAACAAAATGCCGTAAGACAAGATGCTGTGAAAATAACTAAAGTAAACAAGTCTGGCAGTTTCGATGTCTGTTAGCTGCCTAACCCTTCTAATCGCAAAAACCGCGGAGCTCAGCCTATTCGCAAGAGATGATATATGGGGACTCCACTGGAGCTTTGAATCTACTGTAATTCCCAGAAATATAGCAGACTCAACTGGATTAATGGGTACGTTATTTAATATTAAACTAAAACTTTTCCTTCTTATACTGGGAAGGGTAAAAAGAATACTTCTGGTTTTTTTGGCATTCAATACCATATTATTAATAGTAAACCAGTGGAGGATATGTGAAAGTGCACTATTCACGTCGTCATAATTTAATACGTTTCGGTCAACTTTAAAAATAAGCGATGTATCGTCAGCAAACAGTACAACATCACACAACCCACTGGCATAAAAGGGGAGATCATTAATATATACTAAAAATAATAATGGGCCCAAGATTGATCCTTGTGGGACTCCCATTTTCATCTGGGACCCAGCGGAATTAAATCATTTATAGATACTTTTTGAATTCTATTACTAAGGTAAGAGGCAATGAGATTGAGGGCGATGCCACGAATGCCATAATATTCTAGCTTTTCAAGGAGAGTTTTATGGTCTACGCAGTCGAAGGCTTTTGAAAGGTCACAAAAGACACCTATTGCATCTTGTGACCTTTCCCAGGCGTTATAAATATGTTTGACAAGTGCGACGCCCGCATCTGTTGTCGATCTGCCTTTAGTGAATCCATTGCTCATCGTGAAAGATTTTGTTCACATTAAAATGAACTAAAAGTTGATTTAATATTAGCTTTTCAAAAACTTTACTAAGAGATGGCAATATGGAAATAGGTCTATAGTTGCCTGGATCATTTTTATCACCACTTTTGTAGACAGGTATTATCTTACTAAATTTCATAAGATCTGGAAATATTCCAGAATCTATGCAGTTGTTAAAAATAGAAGCCAAATGTGGTGCAATATATGGCATTATTGTGCTCATTAATTTTATGGACATACCCCATAAATCCTCTGTATTTTTAAGATTAATAGAATTCAAAACTTTTATAATATCATAAGTATCTACGTGATTTAATTTAAATGTGTTTAGGCAAGGGGTAACATTATTTCTTAAAACATTAATTGCGTCTGCGGGAGATGATTTTAATGCACGTGTGACATTAACCGCAATGTCTGAAAAATAGCTTTCGAAACTACTCGCAATTTCGTTATCTGATATTATGGGAGTATTACCTATAACTAGTTTTATAGGTTCCCTGAATATCTTGGTTCTTCCAGATATACGGGTAATGATGTCCCATGTGGCTTTAGTTCTATTGTTTGAATTTATTATGCTATTTCTTATATAAATAGATTTTGCCTGAATACAGACTTTTTTAAATATTTTTGAAAATGTTTGTACCCGTTTAAGGAAGTTAGGATCGTGATTCCACTGCCTCATACTATATAATTCATACAATGAGTCCCTACTTTTGTATATACCCACTGTTGCCCAGTCACTAAATTTTAATTTTGAATTCTTAACAATTGTACGCGATTTAAAAGTATCATTATAAGAAGATATGAGGAAGTCAACCATTGATCTATAAGAGTCATTAGGGTTATTGACTCCTATATCTTTATTTAACATATGATGTGCCACTTTATCTCTAAAAGCATTTACTCTATTAGTAGTGACTGGTTTACACTTGATCTTAAGTTTGCTTGTATTAGCTTTTTCATTTATTGAATTTTAGCCCAAAGTGATCCGAGCTCAGATGATTTATAACATATTTATCATATACATCACTGTGACAGAATACATTATCTATACATGAGGAGGATAAGTTAGTAACACGAGTTGGTTCATGAAAAAGATTTTTAAGTTCAAATGAGTTAAATAAATTTAAAAGTCGTTTACTGGGTTGTGTTACTTGTAATAAATCCACATTAAAATCTCACAAACTATTAATGATTTACTACTTGAACATAGTTTTTTAAGAACATCATCCATTACACACTCAAACTGATCGAAATCACCTGAGGGGGGCCGGTATACGCATACTATAATATACTGTTGACTCTCAACGCAGGATAATTCAATAGAACGTTCGACAGAGTGTGCCACTATATCCTGTCGATAAGACATTGTATACGATGGGTTAGATTATAATTATTCTATATGAAGGAAAAAATATTGTAAGGTAAAAAATTGTAAGGTGTCACATGGATACTCTAGGAGAGAGTAAACTTTTTATGCTTCAATAAGTTATTTCATCGCGGGATATTTAAATAGTGAGGGTGGGGTGTGCACTAGCTTTTACAAACTTTTGTTTGCTGATAGTTCAAATAAATAAATGGGATATTTCCTTAAATATATAAAGTTGATTGATCAAACTGTAGTATGTTGTAGTGTGTCACAAATACGGTACTAGATACATGAAATTGAGTGTAAATATAGGCCAACTTGTTTAGAAACAACAGTGACTGCCAAACGCGGAAATCACTTAGCTCGAAGGGGTATTGAATAAAACGCCCCACTTCTAATTGAAATCAGTATGCGAATTATTTAAAGAAAGATTAAGTTATTACAAATAAGCTTTATATAACTACTTGTCAAGTATATAATCAAGTTTCTCGCCAAGTGCCTATATAATTAAAGCAAATACGTTTAAATTGGGGATGTTTATTAATTATCCCTTAGAAACCTTACATTAATTGAAATTAGTATACGACTTGTTTTAAAAAAAGATATGGTTATTACAAATTAATTAATTTTAATTTCGGTATGTTTGTTATTTATTAGACTTTTACTTATTGAAACGATTTCCAAAAAAAAATCTCTATGCATAAAAATCTATAAGCAATAAAAATAATAATTTTTAAAATTATCTGAAATAAAAATATTATGGGCCGGGGAAAAATAAATATTCCCCCATAATATTTTTATTTTAGATAATTTTACTTAAAATCTTGTATAATAAAACTGAATAAATTGACTTTATTCTTGATGTGGCATTGCAACGCAATATAATAATGCTAGTAATATGTAAAAATTATTATTTATATCGGGCTGATTTTATTCTCTCTCTATCTCGAAATGCAGAAGCGGGATAGCCAAGGTAATTTATTTCGGACATGTCGGCAGGAACGTCGTCACATAGAAATTACTTTTCACAAAAAATAAATGGTTACTATTTTAAGTGTCAGCGTAGGCAGTTTAAAAGTATTTTGTTAATTTTCGGTGTAGATTCCAAAAGAACCTATCAAAACTCGACGAAATAATATCAATATATATATATATATATATATATATATATATATATATAATTTTAAATAATATCACATTACTTTAATTTCACAAAAGTAGGTACTTATAACTAAATTAATGGAAGCATTACATAAATGATGTGTTTATTTGTTAATATGTATTTAAATAAATACATTTCAATAAAGTGCTAACAATCTGTGAAAGGCTGTTGATGGTTTTATTCGGAAAAAATAAATTTTCAATTGATGATGACATCAAATGTAATAAATTTTTGATATATACCTCTGCTTTAAATTATAGTCAATTTTCGAATGTTCAGAGTAATAAATGATAGACAGAAATCTTTTTCACAATTGATAGTTTATTTTTATGTTATTTTTTAATTATAAATTATTATTTAAAAGGTATCTTAGGTCGTCATATTCGCTCTTCACCAGGCATGGGCCAAGGGGGCGCCATGAAGGAGTCCGGAATGCGCAAGGGGGCTAGCCAGGGCGGCGTGCGCGAGGGGAGCGGCGACGACGCCATGCGCGATGGGGGCGTAGGCGTGCGACACCACGGCGGGGCTGGTGCGGACGTCCACGCGGGACTGGTGAGACACGGCAGAGGGGGCGATGGCGTGCGCGACCACCGGTGCAACGGCGGCGTGCGCAAGCACAGGAGCCGCGACGGCGTGGGACACGACGGCCGGGCTAGAGACGACGTCCACGCGGGACTGGTGCGACACGGCGGCGGGGGCGGCGGCGTACACTGGGGCGGCGTACGAGAGGTGGCCCAGGGAGCGCTTCTTCAGCAGGTGTCCGTGGCCGGCGAGCCCGAGAGCGGAGTGTCCCAAAAGAGGTGCGCCGTAAGCGCTGTGCGCGGCCAGCACGGGAGCGGCGTGGGCGGTCACGATGGCGGGGCTGGTGCGGACGTCCACACGAGACTGGTGGGAGACGGCGGCGGGCGCGGCGACGACAGCGGGCGCGACCACGGAGTGAGCCAAGGGAGCAACAGCGACGGGGGCGACGGCAACGGGAGCCACAGCAAGAGCTCCGTGGCCTTCCAGGGCCTTGGCTTGCAGGTGGATGGCGCGGGCGTTGACCACGGCAGGGGTGTCAAGAGGGCGCCCGTGCGGGTCCAGGACGACCGCCGCGTGGTGCGCCGGCTGCGCCCACGGAATGATTGAGCCGCATGCCACGGAGGCGAGAGCGAAGAACACCACCAGCGATTTCATTTCGAACGTGGTCTGTGCCTTTTCTGACGAACTAGATCACTTCAAACCGAGCTCGGCCGACTGATAAATTCGACTCGCATACAGTCATATTTATACTGACCGGATATAATTAAAAAGTAAGGTGATTTCAGCAAGTAATCGGCTTGTAATGTTAGAACAATGTCAGTTGTCAATACAGCGAGTGACCTCGCCGCGTGTGGCGGTCATAACGAAAGAATTTCGTGGTCGCTGTACGTAGTGCGCAATGAGTGTCCGTAAGCTGCGTATATGTTGATGCTATCGTATTTTTATTTTGTACGATAAAAAGGAGGTGTTTTGCAATTATGCCGGCGTGCCTTAAATCTAATCATGCGTTACGAAATATTCATGGGTTATGGGTGCTTTTATATAATTCGGGTGGGCTTTTAAGTGTGCTGTTGAGAATGTTGCTCAAGTTCAGTAAATTTTAAGTTATAAATTTAGTGTATAGTTGATAACGCTGCATAATTGCTATAAGTAATGTAGATAGGTTTTGAATGTGAATGGAATGGTAGCCTTGCGAAATGCATCGGCGGCGTGCAAGCCACACAAAGAAATGTACCGAGCCACGGCCGGTCCAGTGAACTGTAGTACTGGGATACTTTATTGGTCTGCGTTAGTTCCGGCTTAGAAACATAGCAACGCGTTTAACGCCCCGAACTCTGTTGCTTGCAACACCCTAGATAAGCGAATGCTGTAGGGTTATTTTCTCGGCTTCTTGGACGTACAATAATTTCATTGGTTATCAAATGTGGGTTTTATCCGCATATTTCTACCAACTATGGGCTTGTTTGTCAGTCGTTATAAGCAAAGAAGCGCATTAACTAATAAAGCTTCTAAAGCGTAAGCGAAAGAAGCTTTAATTTTTAATTCGATGGTTTTTGCAGTTCATGACTTGTCCCCTGCTCCGGTTAACAGAATCCACAGAAAGATTTTTTTTAATTCACATATAAAGCAATACTACTACATAAATAATGTGATAAATGTTTTATAATATTACTAGCTTTTTGCCCGCGGCTTAGCTCGCGTTGAAGCCCTTAAATAAATATCTTTTCCTTTTGAGAACCCTTCCGTGTACCAAATTTCATTTTAATCGGTTCAGTAGTTTTGGCGTGAATGCGAGACAGACAGACAGATTCTTGATCTTTTCTTCTTTACTGAAGGTTGTGTGAAATTAAATTAGCCGAACACGTGTTATAAATTCTTTTATTTTTGGTGGACAATGAATTCTGGACTATAAGGAGAAATTTCGCTTAATATCTACCAGACTTATCTCTACTTACCATATTATAGAATATTCACTATATTTATAGAAAATCCATATCGGATATGCTAGAGGCATAATGACGTGTTACGTAAAGACCGGTTGTTTGTTGAATATGTAAAGCTTAAAGCTCTATTTCAATGTCATATAAGTGACTAACACATAATCAAGAACAATTTAAGTGTAAACAAACTAATTTCGTGTAATTTATAGTCTCGGCTTATTTGGATTATTTTTTTCCACAATCCCTGTAAATAACATTAAGGAAACAGTTCAAATTTCAAAAGCTTCAAAATCGTTGAACGTTGTATGGAACACATTACATTTGGGAAATATAATTGGTGCTTCATATTGTTGTTGTTTGTTAAGCGAGTAGGCGATTCGTTTGATGTCAAGCGATAACCACGGCCCATGCACATTTACAACACGTGACGGTTGCAAATGCGTTGACAATAAAAAAAAGTATGTATGTACTTCTGTACGCACGTAAAAGTAATTCTTTAGTATAACAAAAGAAAAATAACTAAAAAATTCACCCCTGCTCCTTTCTTTCTTCTAGTTAGTTTTTGTGTGTGAAAAAAGACAATAAATGCAATTCATAACGGTTTAATTCAATAACTTGGAATTTATTCATTTATTTAATAGGTGAAAAGTTGTTATTGGTTGCCATGGTAATTGCCGTAAAGTTGGTCGCTTTGGAATCATGTCGTTTTTTGTCTCTCGGTGTGCGTCTAAAAATTTTACTCTCATTATAATTTCAAGACGCGCCAAAAGAATCACTAAGCGAAGCGCGAAAGTACTTTCACTTCCCGCAGGTCCTCTTTGAAGCCGTGGGAATTCCCCAGATTAAAAAGTCCTATATGAATAATATAAATAAAATAATAAAAAAAATAAATCGGTTTGATAGATTTTTTTTTTAATAATTAAAGGTCATTGTGAACGGTGCTTGGAAGTAAACTTATCCCAACCAGATATGAATCATTCGTTTTTACACACAGTAACAACAGTCGAGCGTAAAATATGCAATACAGTTACTTGTTGAGTTTTAATCTTTTGCAAAGATCTGCAACACGTCCCTATGTAAATTTATGAAGTATAATAATTATTGTAATCTGAAGAAAGCCAATTTGCATTAGTTAGAATAATCATTTTATGCAAGAAATATTTTACTTTGTAGATAAGTGATGGAACGTCATTTTGATTTGATCTGTGCTCTCATTACATGCGTGTATTATGCAACGAGGAAGCTCAATTGCGATAACTTATAACAAGGATGTGCCCTTCTCCTTATTGATATGTATAATTTATATCAATGAAATATATTATGCTCTTGTCATTATTTGGTAAAAGAAAGTACAGTGACACAAAAAGTATTTAATAATTTTGTATGATTATTTTTGGTGTAATTAAATGGCAGTAGTAACGTAAAATCACATTGAGCATCCAATCAGTCTGTCCAGTCCTTCAAGGCCTTTGTCCAGTCTGGACGAAGACCTCCCCAAGCGATCGGTTGAGCATTAGTATTTATAAGGTAACCCTTACATTTTATGTGCATACTTCCGTCTGTGTATCGCGGAAGTTTCCTAGGTTTGAATGATTGTGTGAGTATTTATTTATTATACACTCGCACACAGCTACCATTACAGGCTGACCCAATGCTATAGTGTTGCCAAAACATATATAATAATCCAAACAAATAATAAAAACTAACAATTACATGTAACCAATTAAAAAGAGTAAGAACATAATAAAAAACCCTATTGAATTTTTTAATTTTTCAGATCAGGTAATGGGATACTATGGTAAAATCATGTCAGACCGTCATGTTATTTTTTTAAATTATATAATAGCCAACAATATAATAGCCATTGGTCTATAGAGCTTTTCACGTTGAAATTTTAAATGTGTGTTTATTAAACATATCGGAATTACTCTTACACCCGCACACACGGTTGACTTAATAGCATTAAGACTAACTCTTAAATTTTTGTTTATTCCAATTTTAAATGATCCATAAATAAAAAGGGATTATAAATTAGATATAAAAGTTAATTATATTTCGAGAACATGTCATAAGTTTATTAATATAAGTATTATGTATGGGGTAATAAATGATGGGGTCTCCTTTTCACTGTGTGAGCCTTTAGTAAGTTTTTGACGTTGACATGAATTAAATAATTAGTGAAGTCCAGTATACGAGTTTTTGAGTTGAATGAAAATATTTTACAATATACATCTGATATACTTTTTATTTATTATATATGTTCGTGATCATCTCAGCGACGTTTATTCAAATGTCTATATTATGTTGCTTCAATTCATGTTTCAGAGTCACTTGACTCTTGAGACATGAATTGAAATAACAGAATATACAGTCAGGACGTGTTTCCAAACGGTAAGTTATGCTCTGGTTTGGAAAAGCAGTGGGCGACAGGTTTTTATGATGATAAAAGTAATAAAATAATTCAATTAGTCTTTCGATATGCCTTAACTTTACTTATAATTATCCTTTATAGGTTTGATTTCATCATAATCGCTTTAAAAGTCGCTCTTTCATTAACTTAAACACTTTTTCTTACGAAACATATTTTTATTGTAAAATATTTGTTTAATTTAATTTGGTGCACGGTTAAGAGTTGCAATTAACGATGTTATATTGAAAAAGTTCGCATAAAAGTTATCGTAAATATTTAATTATATCGTTTTATGCCACTGCATGTCCATACTTGATTAATACTTTTACTTTTAGTTAGATTAGTTGACTGATTAATTTGTCAGACTTAAAATTAAGACCTCTATAGCATTATATTAATAACTTTTACTTTTTGAATATTAAATAAATCAGACCTATGTAGGCTAAAACTTAATAGGGTACGCATTGTGTTCACATTGACGACGCGCGGTCTTATTTTAATATAAATATATGATTTAATATGATTGATGATATGATGATATAATACCGATAACTATGATTAAAGTGATCGGTATAATAATATCCAATTAAGAATCTGTACTTTAATTCAAGACGAAAAACTACAACTTACTTGTGCAAATTTTATGATGTAGCGTCCACTCTACTAATTATGATAGATTGTTTTACTTACTACTTAATTAGGTTGGTTATTTATTTATTTTTATTATTTTATTTTATAGACTAATGCTACTTATCATTACATCAAAAACGTGCCAACGTATTCCTAACGATCCAGAAGAAACAATAAATTTCGACGCGCAAAATAAAATCTAACAATTACAACACTCTTTCTTTGTTTGCAGAAAGAATTACACGCGCCCGGTATATAATTGATGCCAAATTGTTGCCCATATAAAATAATTAAACAATAGCAGAGTTGCTAAATGTTATGAATACGCGTTTAGAAGGTTTCGAATAATTATTTCTAGACCAAGGCTTGAGAAAACCCGCATACCTGTTCTTGTAACTCTGTATAATTGTGCTTTGTATGTACATTCGTCCTTCCTTCTACAGTGAAGGCCAATTCCATGCGGTTGTTAATTGATTACGTCTTTTTAATATTGGGAGTTATTTTGTACCAAGGTGTTGTATTATTTGTGTTGCGTTAAGAATTTTAAATTAACAAGCTATGTAATTGTTAATGGGCTCCCCTTGTTAGAGTCACGTTTTCCCAGTGCGCATTGTTGGACTTCTTATGTCATCTAAATGTGGGGTTTACGTTTTATGTTGGGTCTACAAGGTTTA